GTGATTCACAAGCTCGGAGACTATAAACACTGCAGCGGAAAGATGCTCACATACGGATCATCAGAATCACCCTCCACATCCTCATCAGAATCCTCATCCTGGTCATCATCATCATCAGCAGCAGCATCATCATCATCATCATCATCATCATCATCAGCATCATCATCATCATCATCATCATCATCATCATCATCATCATCATCGCCATCATCATCATCATCATCATCATCATCATCATCATCATCATCATCATCATCATCATCATCATCATCATCATCATCATCATCATCATCATCATCATCATCATCATCATCATCATCATCATCATCATCATCATCATCATCATCATCATCATCATCATCAACAGCATCATCAATACCATCCTCCACCTCCTTCTCCTCCAACTCCTCCTCCTCCTCCTCCTCCTCCTCCTCCTCATCATCATCATCATCATCATCATCATCATCATCATCATCATCATCATCATCATCATCATTACCGTCATCATCAGCATCATCAGCATCATCAGCAGCATCACCAGCATCGTCATCATCATAAGCATCCTCCTCATAGCATCATCATAATAATCAGCCGTATCACCATCGTCAGCATCATCATCGTCATCCTCATCGTCATCGGCATCGTCATCGTCATCGTCATGAGCATCGTCATGAGCATCGTCGTCATCATCATCATCATCATCATCATCTGCATCATCATCAGCACCATCAGAATCATCATCATCTGCCGAATCAGCATCATCATCATCAACAACATCAGCAGCAGCAGCAGCGACATCATCCCTTCACCTAGTCTTGCCCCTGCAACTCCTTCCGCTGCTCATCATCGTCGTCCTCTCCTGCATCTCCCAGCCACCTCATCTTACTCCTACTCCACCTCCTGCTCCATCTGACAAGTATGGCGTGCATGGGGCCACGAAATGTCATGCTGAAGCTGCGTAGGAACACACCTCTGGTCGCACCAACAACGCATCACACCATCGTATGACAAAGCAGCCACTGCGGATGATCGGTACGTGTGGCAAGTAGAGAGTGGAAGGATATCACGTACTGTTGTCACGAAAAGCTTCTCATTCCACTCGGGGATATGTCGCTCACCACCACGAGCTGGCATGCTGCTCAAGTGACACCATCCCAGACCTCCGAATGGGCCGCGCCTCCACATCGTCGGCATATGTTGAACCCAAATCTCTCTCTCTCTCTCTTTCTCTCTTTCCTTCGAACATTCTCCTCCTTGCTCCCAATGCAAACAAAAAGAATGTTCCATCAGACTCGACAGGGCCGTGAAGACCTGTGGGCGCGATCACAGGAAATGGAGGGGGCAGGATATTCACCACCAGGAAGCATCCATATCCGGAACTTCTGAACTCCTGCCCCCGATCCCCGGTTAGCGGTGGATGTTGACAGTTCCCATCAGCAGGGACGGCGGCCCCCAGTCACGACTGCGAACCGGTGGATATGGACACATCCTGGCGATGAAGGAGCGGCAGCAGCAGGAGGTAAGGAAGGAGGGAAGGAGGGAAGGAAGGAAGGAAGGAAGGAAGGAAGGAAGGAAGGAAGGAAGGAAGGAGGAGGAGGAGGAGGAGGAGGAGGAGGAGGAGAAGAAGAAGAAGAAGAAGGCACTCACTCGAGCACGCCCGCCCGCAAGACGTGATACTCTGAAGTCGTGGGCTGGCATGACATGTCCTAGGAACTCTGAAGTCGTGAGCCAGCGGGCAAGCGCACAATCAGCGCGCAATCAACGCTTCTGGTCGTCCCGCGCAGAATGAATCAACCCGCATGTGCGACCTATCCAAACACGCTGCCCCTCGCCAGAAACGAACAGGAGGAGGAGCGGCAGCAGCGACAGGAGGATTGAGGAGCAAGTCGGCAGTCGATGAGGTATCGGCGAGGTGGTGGAACCAGCAAGCCTGGACACCTGAGCCTCGCCGATGGACAAAAGGATCGCCCGCCACGAGAGTGCTTCACTCTGGGAATACATGCATTGTGTTCGCAAGTCCGCGCCTGACAACGACGAATGCCTGATGTTCGAGCATACTGAGTCGTCAGAGCGCAGTGGCGTCCCTCGCCTCCCGCAATCGCCAAGACAACCAAATCGGCATCGAAATGCCTCATTTCGCAGGGGGTCGCACCATAGGACGGACACGGGTGAGCAGCCAACCCAGACCTGCGACGATTCAAGCTTTTCGAGTCGCTGGCCCCTCAAGCTCTCGACCCTGTCTGTGGACTGTTTTTCATACCCAGAACCGACCCAGGACGCCGATGAGTGCGACAAATCTTGGGCGCGGCTTTGATCGAGTAGCCAGTTCTCAGATCCAGGCTTCTCGAGGGCCCGCAGCACGCAGACATCAACGGAACGACAGCGAAGACGAAAGCGCCCCCGAACACTCCGCAACACAACGCCGCGCCTGCATCGTAGAGCCCCCCTTCCTCCACCTCCCGCGTGCGCATCGTCCCCCATTCCCCTCCCGTTCCGCCTCGCTCTCCCTCCCTCCCGAGACCTCTGGCGGCTCGGACAAAGTCGAGTCAGTTTCAAGCCTCGAAGCCCTCGATACAATAGAACTTCGACCACAAAAGACATTCCAGAAGAAACACAAGCCTGAGTCCAGAGGACGCTCATTGATTTTTGGTGCGGGAACGCCACACCGTCCATAGCAAAGAACCATCGAAACCCACGAAACCCAGGGCAGCCTGGAGGCAAGCAGGGTGCGGTTTGGCATGGGTTTCCACTGTAGACGACTCGGGGTGAACAACAACTACCCTGGGGAAGAGGCCGAATTAGGGGGGCGCACACGTCACGGGGTGAAAAACTGCCGTCGGAGAGACACCCATCGGCGGAGGAGGGGGACGAGACATCCAACGGCGGAGAAGTGCCCGCTGGTCGCTGGAAGACCCCTAAAATCTCGACGACGTTTCGCCATTCGACCAAAGGGGATCGAACCGACTAAATCAAGGTACGTACCGTTAAACCTAGGAATTCCAAACCAGCCGTGGCAAACCCAGGTAAATCCAGGGATATCCAAGGAAAGTTGGAAGAGATCGTGGCCGCTCCAGCGCGAGTCAAGGGACGGCAGAAGTCGTTAAGCCCCTGACGAAAGGAGGTGGAGGAAGTGGAGGGATTTGGAATCGTGATCGGCATGGGTCGGGCAGGGTAGCCATGCAGCAAAGAGGCACCCGAGGTAGCGAGGATCGAAGAGAGCCGAATGAAGGAGAGGGAAAGGGAGGAGGCAAGGGAGGAGAAGGGGGGAAGAGGAAGAGGAAGAAGGGGTGGGCACATTCACATACATCGTGTCCCCAGTATGCCCCTCTCAGCGCGCCCTCCTCCCCCGACCCCTGACCCCGCTGAGTTCCCCCCCCCCCCACCACCCCCCTGGAGGCGCCCAGTAGAAGATGGCGCCGTTGAGCAGCGAGACTGGCAGCAGGCAAAGCAGCACAAAGGTCAGGGACAGCGAGTAGCTGTGCCTGCGATCACGCGCGCGCGCCACTCTCCCCATCATCCTGGCCCTCGTCCCATCACCATCATCATCATCATCATCATCATCATCATCATCATCATCATCATCATCATCATCATCATCATCATCATCACCATCACCATCACCATCACCATCACCATCACCATCACCATCACCATCACCACCACCACCACCACCATCATCATCAGCAGCAGCAGCAGCATCAGCATCATCGTCATCGTCATCATCATCCGCATCATCGTCATCATCATCGGCAGCATCATTTGCATCATCAGTATCACCATCAGCAGCAACATCAGCAGCAGCATAAGCAGTATCATCACCATCGCCACTAGCATCATAGTCATCCTCATCATCATCATCATCATCATCATCGTCATCATCATCATCATCATCATCATCATCATCATCATCAGCAGCAGCAACAGCAGCATCATCAGCAGCATCAACAACAGCATCATCAGCATCATCATCGTTGTCATCAGTATCATCAGCATCACCATCATCAGCATCAGCATAATCATCCTCAGCATCATCATCGTCATCGTCATCGTCATCGTCGTCAGCATCGTCATGATTATCGTCATCGTCATCATCATCGGCATAAGCATACTCAGTATCGACATCATCATCATCATCATCATCATCATCATCATCATGATCAGCATACTCAGCATCATTTTCATCATCCTCATGGTTCCTCTTCACTACCATCATCACCAGCCGCATCATCGTCATCGTCATCATAATCATCAGCATCAGTATCATGATCGACATCATCATCAGCAGCAGCATCATCCTCCTCACCCTCATCATCATCAGTATCATCATCACCGTACTCATTAGCATCCTCGTTGTCTCATCGTCATCATCGTCCTCATCGTCCTCATCGTCCTCATCGTCCTCATCGTCCTCATCGTCATCCTCATCATCGTCATCATCATCAGCAGTGCTCATCGCCATCGTCATCGTCATCGTCACCACCACCACCATTAAAATCATCATCAGCATCGCCCACCTTTCGCCGTCATCATCATCAGCATCATCATCAGCATCATCAGCACCAGCAGCAACAACATCATCAGGATCATCATCAGAATTCTCATCAGCAGGAGCAGCCAGCATCATCATGATGAACAACAGGTTCACCAACATGTTCACCATCATCATCATCACCATCATCACCACCACCAGCATCAGCAGCAACAACATCGCCATCACAATGGTGATCCGGATCCTGGCGACATATCGTCGATAAGCTCAGTTTTGTCGCATCGTCATATTACTCATCTGCATGTTCATCTTCCGCAGCAACATCGGCATTATCGTCAGTTCGTCGTCCCCATCTTCAAAAAAAAATCATGTCTGGCACAGTGCCTCTGGGCGCGGAGTGGGCGTGTCCTCAGGTCCTTTGGCCCATCCCCTGAGCATCAGTCCTCAGTCCTGAGGAGTTTCCAAGGGCCCTAGACCCCAAATTCTCAGAGCTCTCGGGGCTTGGCGCGGCTCGTCGCGGGTTCCTGGCGTCTTCTTGCATGACTTCTTCGGACCCAAAAGAGCCCTCGGACGGGCCAAAAGGGCTCCAAGAGGCCGCCAAGACGGTCCGAGAGGACCCCGAGTCGGCGAACGATCGTCCCAGGACGCCCAATATTGCTCGCAGACGGCCCAAGAGGCCCCCAAGACACCCCAAGAGGCCTCCGAGGGGCCCCTCTCTCGCCTTTTCGGCTACCCGACGCTCCCAGAGGGCCCTAGAGGCCCCCAAGACTGCCCCAAGACGACCCAAGGGGCCTCCAAGAGGGCCCCAAAACGGCCCAAGAGGGCCCCAAGACAGGCCCCAGTGAGGCCCAAAAGAGGCCCCAAGATAGGGCGACGCAATCTATACATATCCACTGCTCCCTGGCCAGGCCCATCCTGAACACAGCAGCTGTGTATACGCCACGCCCTCCTGGTTTGGCCAGGAGGGCGTATACACAGCTCCTGGGTTCAGGATGGGCCTGGCCAGGGAGCAGTGGATATGTATAGATTTCGTCGCCCGACCAAGAGTCCCCCAAACGGTCCCCAAGAGGCGTCCGAACTGCCTCCAAGAGGTCCACGAAAAGCCTCCCACGATATCCCAGCGAACATCCAATAGGCTTCGCACCCACAACCCAGGCACGGTGGCGGGATGGGCCAACGGTCACTAGATCCGCCGCCCCCTGCTTGCAGGGGTGCACGGCGTGCTGGACGATTCAGTTTTGGTTTTGGTTCTTTTTCTAAAAGAACTCCCCAGTGGGCTTCGGCCCGTCCCGCCGGCCACCCGCGCGTTTCCCAAAATCCGTCTGTCAATGCCCAAAAACGGCCGTTTCGCTCGGGACATCCTCAAAAAATCGCGAAGATGGCCCAAGATGGCCTCCAAGTCCGCCCGAGATGGTCCAAGACGGCCTCCAAAACGGCCCAAGAGAGTCCAAGACGGCCCAAGACGGCCCAAGAGGCCCCCCAGAGGCCTCCCAGACGGCCCAAGAGGCCTCCAAGAGGTCCTCCAGGAGAGTCCGAAGAGGCCAAAATCATTGATTTTCCCTTGGTTTTTGAAGGATTTTGGCATTTGCGCCTTTTCGGCTCTCCGACGGCTCAAGACGGCCCAAGAAGCCCCCAAGATCGCCCAAGAGGCCCCCAAGAGAGCCCCATGATGGCCCAAGTGGCCTCCAAGATGGCCCCTAGAGGGCCCCAAGAGGGCCCAAGAGGCCTCCAACACGCCCAAGATGGCCTCCCAGACGCCCAAGATGGCCTCCAAGACGGCCCTGGAGCATTCCAAGCGGGCCCCAAGTCGGCCCATAGAGGCCCCCCAAACGGCTTCCGACGGCTTCAGACGTGCCAGGAACCCACCAAGATGGCCGAAGTTGGCTCGAAGCTGGCCCGAGACGGCCCAAAAAGCCCCAAAGATCGCCCAAAGCTTGCCCAAGAGGCCTCCAAGACGGCCAAGATGACCTTCAAGATGCCCACGTGTTCCCCGAAGGCTTTCCAAACCGATTCGGGGAACACGTGGTCCGATAGCTTGGCAGGTCTGGCCTCAACGTTCGGCCACATAGGCGCTTCCAAAAAGGCAGGGGGCGGCGGTGATTCGCCGTAGGCGTCTTCGATCCGCCGGACCCGCTGTCGGGAGCTGTTCCTGCCCAGCTGGCTCGACAGATGTTTTACTTGAGCCAAAATGGCTTGAGCCAAAATGGCTACGGACCAAAGGGCCCGAACCTTGGGAAAAACTAGAGCTGTCTCTTGCCCACTTGCCTGTCCAGATCTTGGCTTTGTCAGCCATTCTCTGGCAGGAGTCCGTAGCCGTCTCCCCACCAGTCCTAACCTTCCCGACATACACCGACTTGTCTCTGATGCGGCTATAGAGGCCTCGGCCTCCAACCTGGTCCTGCTGCATGACCCACTGGTGGAAACATGTGAGAGTGTCATTCAAAACCAACATCATCAGAATCACCATCATCACCATCAACATCACCATCGTCAGCATCATCAGCAGCATCAGCATCATCAACATCATCGTCGTCATCATCATCAGCAGCATCCCCATCATCCTCATCCCCATACACATCCCAATCCCCATCGCACCTGAAAGAGAGCACCGACTCGCGAATAAAGTCCAGGACGATGTACAATAAGCACAACACCTGCGCCGCCACAACAGGCCGCGAAGGTAGCCAAAAAGGACTCGTATTCATCCCCCCAAACCCTTCATCCGAATCGACTTCTACACATCCCCTCCATCACCTTCCGCTTCCTTACTCCCTCCTCTTCCCGTCCCCATCCCTCCTCCCCGCCACGAAAATTGCAGTCTCGTGATCCACACGCATGCTGACCCCCTGGGGCGGGGGCGGGAGGAACAGAAAGAGGAGGCAAGGGGGAGGAGAACACGAGAAGTGGGAGGGGGAAGGTTGAGCTGAGATGACCTGAACAGTGGGACCATGTGTCATACGCAAGCCCAGTGCAAGCGTTGACTCGAGTTGGGCATCGGAGAGGAGGAAAGGAGGACGACGGGAGAGAGTAAGAAGAGAATGTTTGTTTTTTGACGGAGCAAAGGACATAAAAGATGGGAAGGAATAGGAAGAGGAAGGGGCTGAGGCGGAGAGGGGAAGGGGCGGCCCAAGAACCCGCGGAGGGGGGAGAACCTGGCCAGGGCGACGCAGAAAAGGGACAGGGCAATTACGAGTAGGAGGCCAAAAAAAGACGAAGGCAAAAGAGGAGGAAGAGAAGGAGGTGGAGGAGAAGAGCAAGGGGGGTATGGGGGAGGAGGACCTGGAGCCGGGAGAGGTAATCAAGGGATGGCGAGAGAGCGTAGCCATTTTGGCTCAAGCCATCTCCCTCCCTTGAAAGAGGGGTCAGGGCTCGAGCGGCACAGCGCCTGCATTCAGATATCGCCCACAATCCTGACCAGGGCCACAGCTGGGCCGTGGGCGAGTAACGTACCTTCCTATCTTGGGTGATGGGAGGCCGTGGCGAGGGCAAGGGCAAGTGCAAAGGGAAGGGTAAGGCAGAAGGTTCTGACCCAGACCGACGTCGCCCGCACCCGCCCAAGCAGGTGGCAGCTGCCTGCGCATGGACATGCTTAGTTTGTGCAGCGAGTGTGAATTTGAAACATTCTTGGTGCTGGCAATGCTGATCTCATTGGGAATCGCAAGACGACCAATGTCCAGTACCGCCGAGCAAGAAAAACAAGGCTACTTCAGATACGGCAGCATCTTCGTCACAGCAGAAGGTTGGCTCGCAGATCATTCGGTTGCAGCAGTCCTTGGACATGCTGAAATCGATGGAATCCAAATCAGAGAGGAAGCCATTGCCTCTCAAGAAGTGGTCTTGAAGCGCCTACGTGATGAGCGAGATGCGGAGGAGACGGAGAGCCAGCTCACCATGGCAGAATTGAGCAGGTTGCAAAAGGCGCAAGGCCAACTAAAGAAGCAGACGCAGTACGTGGAGTCCCAGGAGCAAGCGCTGGCGGACTTGGAAATGAAGCAGGCGCTGCTCAGGGCGAACCTTGAAGCCGCCCGCATCCACAAGACGGAGTTGCAACTACGTGCATTCGATCTTATGAAGGCGACCATGACCGACCCCTACTCAGCCCCTCCTAGCTTGGGTCGGTTTGAACATGTTGAGCACCATGAGCAGCTGGGAGAAGCCTTTCAAGCCATGACGAAAGGCAAAGGCAAGGGCGAGATGGACGCCAACACTTTCCTTCGAAGCATGCACTACATGCGTCAGTATCTCCAACCTCAGCGGTTGGAAGGCTCGCACGCGCACACGGGTAGTTTTGCCGCCCAGATTCGCACCGCGGGAGGATTGGTCGAGGAACGTCAGGCGGCGCGAGTGGACGAGCCTGAACAGGAAGCTGAAGCCAGGCAGGAACACTCTGCGGCGGGAGATCCAGGGACGCCACCAGCCCCATCGGCAGAGAGAGGGGGGCCGCAGACCAGGCCCCGGAGGAGGAGTCAGCGTCCAGGCGCAGGCCCACGGAGGAGGGGGAGGCGGCCTCGGGCGCTGCCCGGCCAGGTCGGTCGGCCGGGCAGCACCCGGCCCAAGGCGTCGAAAGGCGGACTGCAGATCCTCACGATCGACGGCACTTGTTGGTCAATTGCGGCTTCGCTGATACAGGAGTGCGAGGCTCACATCGTACTTGTGCAAGAACATAAGCTCATGGTCGAGGCCTCCTTGAGGCCAAAAAAAATGCGCGCAAACTTGGCTGGAAGAGATTCTGGGCACCATGCTGCATCACGCAGCGCTTGGGACGTTCGGCTGGAGTGTGTATCTTGGCCAGAGCTCATCTTGACTTATGGCAACAACCAGGTCGGGAAGGGCCTCTGGTGGAACATAGACTTCCACAGGTCTCCTTTCGCTGGAAGGCGCTGGGGGTTGTCTCCATGCATTGCGGACATTGGAAGGACGGAGGCCTCGGACAAGCCAATGTTCATATTGCAAGTGTCTTGGGAGAAGACATTACACGCAACAATCTACCCTACATCGCCGGCGGAGATTTCAATCTAGAATCCCGGCGGAGATTTCAATCTAGAATCCAATGTCTTCCAGGAGGGCTTTGGGCCCCACAATCTAAGGGGCCAACTTGTGGTTCCTACGCCGACGATAACACGTGTAGCATCCAATCCAGGCACGTGCTTCGATGATTTTCTTGTTGGGAAGTCATTGCAAACATGCATTGACAACACCCGCGCAGAGATGGACGAGCATATTTTACCTCACCGCCCAGTTTGCACGATTGACCGTCGACCTTCCCATCGGCCCTGCACCAGAGGCCCCAAACTACTCTGACCTGGAAGAAGGTTTGGAGGCTACCTTGGGGCTCTTAGAGGTTGAGGGCGGCTACGGGCTGCCAGATTCTTCTGAGAGATCGGATCTTCGGAATGCTGTGGATGACATTTATGGGGCTTGGAGTGATCGCGCGTGGGGGGAGCTGGAAGGTTCTTCGCAATGCTTTCCAGAAGGTCTTCGAGGCGGCTCCAGCTATCAGGTTGCGGACATACCTCTCGGGGAGCTTCTCTGCGCCAAGAGGTCACCAACTCGGAGCCCGTATCGAGCCCTCCATTGGCTAGCGCGACGTGTGCACGAACACTACTCCTTGGTTTCTAGCGGTAAGTATATAACGAATGCAGCTCATTTCAGAGAATTGGTTTCATCGTCATACAAAGCATCGGTCCACGGTGGAATCTTCAGTTATCATTTCCCGGGTGAAAAAACTCTCTGGCTAGGGCTCCTCCAAGCAGCTCTGGTTCCTTTGCATAGTACGGGCTTCATATGGCGTGCAGAGCTGGCGTCTGAATATTTATACTCACTATATCAGTTCGCGCATTTTAATGCTGAAGCTTGCCTACCGCGGGAGCGCCGAGATCGCGCCCAGAAGTGGGAGGACCGGTGCGCTGAGGCGCTGGCAGGTGGAGCCAAGTGGGCACATGCCTACACCAAGGCCGCCGAATCCCGTCGCCAAGATCTAGTAGGAACAGATGGGGGGAGCCATACAGCATGTCTCACGTCGCAGTTGGAGGAGGAGGTGAAGTAGCGGTCAAAGGCATGGGGGGAGGAAGGGAGAGATCCACACCAAACCCTAGATTGGCCAGCAGGGATGATATTCCAACGAGGGCCTGGCGCTGATGAGGTGCAGGCCCTTAGCAGGTCTTTCAAGAGAGCTGCGATAACTGCAGACGGCTTTCACCCTCGGCATTATCATCTTCCGTGCCGACCTGCAGCTGGAGTTTAGGTCAGATTATGTGCCTCATGACGGTTCTTGGGGCGGCCCCAACCTGGATGCGCACGCTTCAGATCGCTCTATTTCGAAAGCCTGTTGTCGGTCGTCGGCCTATCGGGTTTTATCAGTCGTTCATCCGAATGACGCCCAGATGGCATTAGCGCATCCAGGATCACGGTTTTTTTTTCGATGGCGCCGAACAGGAGTCCTGCTGACACTGCGTGGAGGCAGACGCTTCGTGGAGATCTAGCTGCGGGAGACAAGAAGCATGTGCTTTCGCTCCTGGGGGACTTGAAACAATGCTATGAACATGTACATCACCCGCAGCTAGATCGCACGGCGATTGAGCGGAAGTTTCCTCTTGTCTCGCTCAGATTCGCCCTGCACACGCGGGTGGTCCAGAGTTTTAAGCATGGATGAAATGGTTTCTGAGCCGATCGAACCAGCACAGGGAATAGTAGCGGGGAGTAGTACTGCAACATTCGAGATCAAGTGCCACTGCATCCCGTGTGTGAATGTCTATCTGTCTAGAGGCTTTACCCCTGCACTTACGGCTCATATTTATGATTGTGGGTTGAACGAATATTCGCCGGCCCAACGGGCCAGAGGCGTGCTAAGATCTCCGGTAACTTGTTAACAATATTTCTAGTTCGCGCGCGCGGAGCGGCCCCTGGGGGCCCCCGGACGAAAAGTACCCCGGCAAGGTCCCGAGAGAAGCCCGGGAGAAGCCCCCAGAGCACTCCAGGGGAGGGCCATTTTTCGACACCCCTCACGAGGATCGTGGCCTCCGAGGGGGGAGCCGCAATCGACTACCCCCAAGAGCCCCCCAAGAGGCCCTGGGGGCCTCCAAAACGCCGCCAAGGAGCCCCAAGAGACTCCCAAGAGGTCCCCAAGAGGCCCCCAAGAGGCCCTAAAGAGGGCTCCAGGGCCGGCGGCATGAGCGAAGCGATTAAATAACTTATCTATTTCAGAATGTGTATCCAACATGGCTGTGGCGCTTGCTTTCCTGGTTGAATTTCTCTTCAACTTATTCAACTTATCTTTCTCTCTCAAGAAGGTCTGCATGACGGGGACCAGTGTTGAATTGGTTCGATCAGCTCTTGCAGTCCTTGGGAAGTACGCGGGCACTTACGACCCCGCCATCATCAATTTAGGCGTGGATTTTTCGCCGGGCAAGCATCGCAAGGTGCTGAAGGGTAGAAGGAGAGGTTTGCCAAAGGAAAGCTTCGCCTTCGTAAAATCAGGTCTCTACATAACCCCAGAAGATCCAGGGCCAAGGTTTGGTTTTGCGGCCGGCGTTGACCCACGGGGAGGAGGTGGCGGGCTGGACGCCCCCAGAGATTCGAAAGCTACGTTCTCGGGCAGGGGATTCCTTGGTATTTCAAGCTGCGGAGCAGACCTCGTGCTTGCACTGTCGCTGGAACCTGAGAAGGATCTTCTTCGCCATGCAGGTGCTACGGTCACCAGATATGCGACGGAGTTTTGGCAGACTACATCGCTCTTGCACAGGCCGGGCGACTGCTTGACAGCAGGCGAGCTGGCCAAGATCGCACCGATTGTCCAGAGGCACCTGGAGGCGCACCCTTGGAAGTCTTGGAACTTCAGAGCCTGGGGACCTATTGGGGTCATGCTTCTTTGGATGAGCAAAGCTGGTTGGAATGTTGTGGGGCCTGGGCACTTCTAAAGGCGAAACGGGGACCCGCTCATTCTGACGGCCACGCCCTACTGTCAAGTAGCCAAGTACTTCACCTACGCTCTAGGTAAGCAGATGATTTCTGAACGAATGGTGAAGTATGTAGGAGATAATGACAACGAACGTGCAGCAGCTATCCTGGACAATGGTCTCTGGGTGGAACCTCCGAGGGCCTTCTGGAGACCCGAGTCGTCCAAGAGAAGTAAAATCCATCGTCGAATAGTTAGACAGTTGTTCACCCGTTCGTACGTCACGGCAAGTGTTTTGCACAAATGGGGATATAAAGTATCTCCGAACTGCCCGTTCTGTAGCAGCTACCAGGATGGGACGCTAGATTCAGTGTGGCACCGCCACTTTGAGTGCCGAGGACTGCGTGAAAACGAAGTGAGTTTCTTTCGGAAGAGCTGGTCACGCGAGGCTTGGAGGCTGGCGCCGATGACCCGCTGTTCAGTTGCCTATGGCACCCTTTCCCGTCAGGCATCAAGGATTGTTGTTGGGAGGGGAAGATCAACTATGTGGGCTCAGATGGGGAACCTTGCGAGAAGATAGAATTCACTGGCCACGTTTTTATTGATTATGATGGCTCCTGCTTGGGACCTACTCTACCTATTGCTAGGGCAGGATGGGCGGTGTTGGCTTTAGATAAAGAGGGAAGGTGCCTCATGGGAGTCTTTGGGGATGTGCCTGTTTTTTTACCGCAGAGTGCTATATGTGGGGAAGTGTACGCGCTGCTGCAGGCGCTCGAGCATCTTGATTTTGATGGGGATGATGTGCCAGAAGAATACACTATCCATGTTGACTGTAATAGTCGCTTCGGAGGAGCCGAGAACGACGTCACGGCGACCTCTGGCCCTTCGCCTTTGGCAGAAGTGTGGATATATATATATATATATATACCAGAGAAGCTACCCGAGGTGGCGACTTGAAAAAGTTCGAGCTCATGTGACTGATGAGAATGTGTCGGGAGTTGCTCTGCGACATGAGAAGGAAATGACAAGGCTGATGAATATGTTGAAGACGGAGTACATTCACATCCTGATGTTCTCTCTAATATCTTCAAATATGAAATGGCCAAGGCTGACTGGAATCAGATTGCGATGCCAGTAGCTAGGTTTTTGTCGGATATTCCCAAGGCCAAGGAGCTGCATGAGAAACTAAATCGTGATCGAAGGCATCCGAGGCCGAGGTACCTTCCCAGGGGCCGCGCCCACCGAGTGCTTTGGAACGGGAACCGTTGGCGCTGTGTGCAGTGCGCTAGGTGTTCCAATGATAAACGGGCCCCTGGTATATGTGCTGTTCTAACACCAGCCTCGAGAAAGCTGGCCACAATTCAATCAGATCGCCCGCACAAACTACACGTTTGTAAAGTGGTCGAAACTGGTCTTCCAATCGTTTTCTGTATTAATTGCGGGTCCTACAAATCGGGCCGTCCCCGTAAATTAGGGGGCCCCTGCGACAATATTTATGTGAAGCAGAAACGCCAGATACTGGCTGGCAAACTCCCCTGGCCTAAGGGCCAGCATGTCACGAATCCCTGGCCCCTCAACCCTGAGTGCCCTAAAGGGGATGAATGGTGGGACCTGCTGTACTAAATAAATTGTTGTAGCAGCCCTTTCGTTCCTGGAATGGCTGGGTGAAGAGAGAGCCACTGAAAAAGGGATGGCGAGAGCGACGCGGGGGGGTCACGGCAACAAGGAGAAGGAGGAGAAAAAAGAGGAACATGAGACCCCAGAGCCTCCAAACCCTCCCAGAACTCCCCTGGACCCCCGACTACCTCCCAACAAAAATGAGGCAAGGCAACGAGAAGGTGATACGCACGCCGCACAAAACGTCGGCCCAAATGGCGCGCGCAGGAAAGCACCGAGGACGGAACAAAGAGCCGTGTTCATCCATTCCCGCCTTGGCAGGAGAAGGTAGAACACCCAAAATGCTTGGGCGAATCAACATCATGCACGCGAACGGGTCGGTCGGGGCATCGCCAGCGCTCGCGGTGACCAACCGGGCCGCGCCCGCGATAGTTGAAAAGGCGTCTTGCCAGCACAATTGATCTCAAGATCCTAAACATCTCAAATACGCGCGACCAATTCTAGCCACTTGTCGACGGCAGTGTCGACGAGAGCAGCAGTCGAACCCACAGGGCGATAGCTTCGTCGTCGACGAAAATTGTGTCGACGATCTGTTCACGTAAAGCTTCGCCAGCGGAGCGGGCGCAAAAGGCGCACTTTGGCGGGTTGCCGCTGCTGGGAAAGCACCAAAAGTACAGGCCCTCAAAATGCACGCGCAAAGAAATATCGTCCTCCTTCCACTCCTGATAGAACACATCCGAAGCCAAAATGCACGCAATGTTGAGTGACAACGACCCCAATTTGCAGTCTGCGCGACCGCCCGTGACACTCAGCACGGCGGAATCGAGAGAACCGACGGGCAACCATACACCATCGCGCAAGGTCTCGGAGAACTCAACAGCTTCAGCGTGGACGCCCCACTGCTCCAAGATGCAACCGCTGGCCCCAATGCAAATGCAAAGCGCAGCCAACACGCGGACTTCTCACCGATACCCATAGACAGACAGCGGGGCATTTAGTCGGCAAGGGGGGCCCAGCCAAGCACGAGCTGCCTCACTACCCAATCGAAAGCTTTGACTACGTCGGTGGAGAGCACGCAACCGAACCAATTGAACAACGCAGAAGACACGATCGAAAAAATAATTATGTGAGAGGCGAAGCCGACGCCATGGCCAGCTACGGCACTGCGCTGGTCACAAGGAATACGCGACGCGTTCCGTCCTTCGTCCTTCGTAACGTGTCTGTCGGCACCCCTAGCGGCCGTCGTCTGCAACGAGAAGGCCGCGGCTGGTATCGCAGACGCAGCGATCTCCCTGGCCTTTGCACAGGTCGGCTACTCGGCTACTCCACCACTCGCGAGGCCAGGAGGTATTCATCTAGGTCCGACGCGACATTGACAAATAACGAGCCGCAGCTGCGCTGCCGTTAGCCTGTGGGAGCTCAGCGGGGATCATATCAGGTCCGACCCCCTCGTCGCCCCCGAGCTGGGCGAACAAACCAGCGGCCCATCGCCCGTCAGTTGCGGTAGGCTCGTCACCACGCACAGGCCACAGAGCCCCTCGACGCACACACCCTTCGCGGCCAGGAGGCCACCCCAGGGCCCCCAAGGCAACCTCAGGAGGCGCGGCGGGGCCAGGATGACACTGCACCCAAGTAGTATGCAACGCACGGTTTACACGCCATGGCTTGCACCGCATATACTGCATCTAGCATCTACTACGCATCTACGGTGCAAGAAATCACTGATTGGAATCCACGCTGGCAAACATTTGAAATACCTCCTCAATCCGTCCGCGTAATTGTTGGCATAACGAAAATCATCGATGGATCTACCCTGAAACAATCCTCAAGCGATAACAACGGCCGGAAGTAGATCATCATCCGCCTGTGCACCAAATGACCAAATCAAGATGTCGAGTCAGACCCTGGCGGAAATAACACGCGACAACAAAATGTCGACAACGGCGTGCCTGCAATCCGCGCGAGCACCGAGAATCTCAACCATTATACCAAAGAACGTGAGGAAGTCTTAAGCGAAACGCGCAGAGCGCCCTACCGACACGCCTGGCGGTGCGGCACTGAAGAACTAGCCAGGCGGAAGAAGGAAAAGTAAGGGGACAAGAGAAGACGCAGGAGGGTAATAAGAGAGGAGTCTGGAAAGTCAGGACTGTGGGATGGGAAGGGAGGTAAAGAATGAGGGCGGAGGAAGAACATGTAGACGAGGACGACGAGGCCTGAAGCTTGAGAATGACCTGGTGGTCCAGGAACGGCCGCGTGACGCCCCAGCCCAGCGAAGCCACCTGCTGGTCTTCGCCGCAGCGGCAGGCAAGCAGATTGTCCCCAAGTTACTCCTCCTCTTTCTCCGCCTCCTGCTCCCTACTATCCTGCTCTGGCACCCCGTTCAATCTCCTGTTCCATCTCCTCCTCCTCCTCCTCCTCCTCCTCCTCCTCCTCATCATCATCATCATCATCATCATCATCATCATCATCATCATCATCATCATCATCATCATCATCATCATCATCATCATCATCATCATCATCATCATCATCATCATCATCATCATCATCATCATCATCATCATCATCATCGTCGTCGTCGTCGTCGTCATCATCATCATCATCATCATCATCATCATCATCATCATCATCATCATCAGCAGCAGCAGCAGCAGCATCATCATCATCATCATCATCATCATCATCATCATCATCGTCGTCATCGTCATCGTCATCATCAGCATCAACAACATCACCATAGGCATCGTCCTCCTCCTCCGCCTCCTCCTCCCCCTCATCAGCAGCATCAGCATCAGCACCAACAAAATCATCATCATCATCGTCGTCATCATCGTCACCATCATAATCAGCATCATCAGAATCAGATGATCATCATCATTATTATCTTCATCATCACAACCACCACCACGACCATCATCATCATCGTCATCATCACCATCATCACCATCATCATCATCCTCATCATTAGCATCATCATCATGATCATCAGAATCAGCATCAGCATCATCATGATCATCATCAGCATCAGCATCAGCATCAGTATCATCATCATCATCATCATCATCATCATCATCATCATCACCAGCGGCAGCATCAGCATCATCCTCAGCATCATCATCACCAGCAGCAGCATCGTCATCAGAATCATCATCAGCAGCATCCGCATCACCATCAGCATCATCATCGTCATCAGCAGCATCAGGATCGTCATCATCATCATCAGAAGAAGAAGGCTCAGGAACCGAACCAATTCGGCCGAACCGAACGGGGCCGAACCGAACAGGCGCGAACCGCACTTTTATCATCAAGAACCGAACCGAACCGGAACCGAACGACCCAATGTTGAGCCGAAGATAACCGAACAGGAATCGATTTCGAACCGAACCTGGCCGAACCGGATGGAACCGCCATGAGTCGGACGTCCCCAGCAGGGCCCTGATTTTGCAAGTCTGGAGGCCCTTCGGCCGGCCCCGAGGCCCCCCGAGGCCTCCGCGAGCCCC